GCGGCCGCTCCCGGCGCGGCGCTCGCAGGCGGCGGTCACGGCGGGCACATGACACGCGCCCATATGACCTGCGGCGCTCACGTGAGCGGGGCGGGGCCCCACAGCGGCCAATCAGCGCCCCGGGGGCGGCCGGCCCCGCCCCGGCCCCGCCCACGCACGTGGGAGCGGCCCCGGACCGGGACAGTGGAGGGGGGGCACCGATGAAGCCCCCGCACCCCAACGGGGGCAGCCGGTGGGGGATGCAGTGCGCCGGTGGGCACTACCGGGCACCACCGGTTACAGCTGGGTACGGGGCACTGCTGGGTATGGCCAGTAGAGCTGCGTGCCACCCAGCACTGCTGGGTAAAGCCGGGCATCACCAGGCACTGCTAGTCATCACCGTGTGATGACCACTGGCCACTGCTGGCCATAGCTGATACCATTGGAGACCACTGGGCACTGCCAGGCACTGCTGGACAGCATGGGCACAGCCAGGCTCAGGCACCCCGGGCCAGGTAGCAGTGCTGGACACTCCAGTGTGGAATGTCTGTAGCCGGTTGTCCCTAGCAGCCATAGGGCGCCCCCCCCCCCAACCTCCCCCCATGGCACTAGGACTCTCCTTGAGCCCTCTGGTTGTCCCTCCCAGCTGGGCTGTCACCACTTCACAGCAGCTGTGACAGGGGCAGTTAAAAATAGCTCCGGCAGCAATGGCTGCCCGGTGCCGGCTTGCTGCACGCTTCCACCACATCCACGGCGCCAATATCCGTTTGGATGCCTCACACACGCAAGCCACACGAGTGGAGAGCTTCGCCAACGGGCTGTGCTTCAGCCAGGAGCCTCTGGCACCTGGGCAGATCTTCCTGGTGGAGATTGAGGAGAAGGAGCTGGGCTGGTGCGGGCACCTGCGCGTGGGACTGACGGCTCATGATCCTCAGAGCCTGGAGGTAGTGCCTGAATACTCTCTGCCAGACCTGGTCAACATGGGGAACACCTGGGTGTTTGCCATCACGCGGAACCACAACCGTGTGGTGGTGGAGGGGGAGGAGGTGGCGCCGCACGGGCGGCCCTGGGAGCCCTTCCTGCTGATCGAGCGGGTGCGGATCCCCCGTGACACGCTGGTGGGGCGCAGCCGGCCCAGCCGCTACAGCCACATCCTGGATGACCTGTACAAGATGAATGTGCTGCCCGCGACCGCCCGGCGCAGCCGCATCGGGGTGCTGTACGCCCCGCAGCCCGACGGCACCGCCGACATGCACATCGTTATCAACGGCGAGGACATGGGGCCGAGCGCCAGGGGCCTGCCCACCACCCGCCCGCTCTATGCCGTTATTGACGTCTTTGCCTCCACCAAGAGTGTCCGTGTCATCCCGGTGGATTATGGCTGTAGGTACCTGTGGCACGTGCTGTGTGGGCCAGGAGTGGGGGAGCTCTGGTGGGGTCAATCCTATAGTCGCCAGGAGTGGGAAGGTTGGTGTGTGCCACTGGGCAGAGGGACACGCGGTAAGAGGGCACAGGAAGGCTTCTGGTCCTTGTGCAGCACAGGCGAGATCCACAGTACTGCTGCTGGGCAGTGTCTGATGAAAGCATGGGCACTGTGCTGGGGCTAGGGGAGAGACCCCCAGCAGCAGCAGTCAGGCAGAGCCCCCCTGGTCGCCCTTCCCAAGCAGAGTGATGGGGTTGGGTGTTTGGGGCTGTCCCACAGCTGTGAGGCCTTGCTGTGCCCAGCCTTGCCTACAGCATGTAGCAGCCAGAGCCAACCAAGATCCTGCCCTGGCATCAAAACATCCACCTACATCTACCACGGGTCAGCACACTGCGCCTATGCACCTGCCACGTGCCCCAGACATGATGTTCCCTGGGCAGACACACTGTGATGCCATCGGAGCCTGAGCATTATCCTGCATCCCTTGGCTTGCTGGGAGGGACCAGGCTAATCAATGCTAATTAGCTGGAAAAATGAGGAGATGAATCAGGTGAGACAGAGGAAGAGCTAGAGCCAGAGTACTGGCTGTCCCCAGCACTGGGAGGCACTGCTTCACATGCTGGTGTCAAGAGCAGCTGCTTCTATCCCCAGGCTGGAACCTGGTATTCTCCCTGGTGTAACACCTGAGGAGAGTGCTGGCTGCAGCTGTCAGTACGCACGCTGCTGAGCCACCCATGGCTCCAGGAAGTGGTATCACAGGAAAATGCAGATTTTGTGCAGGTGCCCAAGGGGATGTTTCTCATGATGGTCTGCCCCAAAGGCATGGTGGGCACTCTCTGCAGGCAGTGCAGCCCCAGCCTGTAGAGACTCACCCAGCAGGCTAGTGCTGAGGCCAGTACAGGCAGACCAAGGGACTGGGATGGAAAAGAAGCACAGCATGAGTATGTGAGACCCTGAAGAGTTGCTTGACAGGTGCCAGAGAAAGAAATGCAAACCAGGCACAGTCACACACAGCTTAGGCACATAACTGTCTCTCAACCTTCCTCCTAATAACGAGAAGAACTTTGCTGCCTGGGGCCCTTGAGCTTCCAGCCCTGCTGGAGCAGCCTGGCACCAGCCCCCGCACAGCCAGTTCGATCCCGGGGCAGGACGATGCCACAGAACAAACTAACCTACCGCTGCCTTTAACCACAGTGCCTCTGAGAAGCTCCGCCAGCTCCTCCACCCCTCTGTGCTCAGCCTCACTGCCGACTTGCCCAGCTCAGGTACACTGTCTGTTCTCTTCCAGTTCCTTCACTGCAGACGCTGTGCCGGCTGGTTATCCAAAAACACATCGTGCACCGCCTGGCCATCGATGGCCTGGACTTGCCCCCACTACTCAAGAGCTTCTGCCAACATGAGTGAGGTATTCAGGGTGCTGCTGGGCTGCCCCCCACATCAACAGCCCCCCAGTGATGGCTGCCTGGCAGGCTCTGTGGCCGTCCCTGCCCACTCACCCCAGCATGTGCTGCTCAAGGGCTGACATGAGAGCAGGGTAAAGTGGGGTTGGGATTTTCCCCACACTGATGGTGTGGCATGCTCAGAGCATGGGCAGGGGGATTGATGTGGGTCAGAGAGAGCAATAAAGTGCTTCCAGACAAGACTCTGTCAAAGGAGGCTTGGGAGGCTGGGACCCCCCTGTGCTTCAGGAACCCCTCGTGGGAGCAATTCCCCCACCAGTGAGGAAGGGAGCACCGGCCACAGCCCTGTGGAGTTCAGGACATGTTTCCAGACCTGGAATTTCACTGGGACTATCTGGGTGGATCAGAATGAGTACTGGGGCTGGTGGAGTGTGGGAGGGCACAGCACAGCACTCACGTGGAGGTAAATTACAGCCGGACGCTCATCCTGGCCGGGCAGTTTCACTCTTGGGAAAGATGTTTACCCAGAGAATGATGAGTTATTTCCTGTGTGTTCAGCTTGGAGGGGGACGAGTCAGATGCTGGAGCACCCAGACAGCAGTGCTGGCAGCAGCCACTGCTTGGGCACGTGTCTGTGGCCACAGAGCCAGTCACAGTGACCTGGTGTGGGGCACAGCCATCCTGACTTGGAGCTCCATGCCCTCGGATCCGTGCCCTCAGCCAGACCCTTCAACTCCTGGCAGGTGGGGACGGCAGCCTGGCATCCTGCAGTGCCTACATCGGGCTGGAGGGGAGGCAGGGTGGCAGCTGTGCAGAGGAACAGGCTGCAGGGGAGAGGTCTCCTAAAATCACAAGGGTGCCCATGGGAGCCAGAAAGATAGCAAAGGGGCTGGCAAATCCTTCTGGGCCTCTTCCACAGCACAACCAAAAGGGAAACAAGCAGCTCTAAGCTAACAAAAAGGTGCTTTAAAGAAACATGATGCTATATTTAGGCAGAGACTCGATAGTATCAGATCATGTTACAAAACTCTTGCTCAAAGGAAATCCCCAGCCCGCAACCACAGTCAACTCCATCTACACCAAAGTGTTAATGAAGGAATTGCTAAATGGGGAAAACACGGACCAAACCACAGCAATGGAGCAAGGTCTCTGACATTCCTTGCTATGTCCCAACAACAGGCTGGGAGCTGCTGGGGCTGGAGCTCATCTGGCTGCGATGGGGCTGGGGAACTCACCCACACCAGAGCAGCACCCACAGACCAAGGCGTTTACTCTCCAGGCTGTTTTCCCTCCCCCACCCTTGCGTGAAGCCTTTGGTCCCCACCTCCCTGCAGTGTTATCTGCCCGGCAGTGACCCCCGCACACGGGGGCGGGTTCCTCTTTCTTGAGGAATTGAGAGCAGCTGCTGCAACCACACAAACAACACCCCTGCTCTATAGTGAGCTGCAGCACAGTGGGATTGTCACCTTCAGGAGCTGCCACCTCCTGCCACCTGAGGCACCACGGTGAGACACTGCCCAAAGCCCTGCCCGATTCCCCATGCTCTGCTCCCTGGGCAGGGAAGGGTGGCTGCAGCTGGCACAGGGACAGACTCAGCTCCCAGACAACACGGGGGTGATTTATTGGCTCTGTTGCACAACACCTCACAGCTGGATGCTGCAAGGACCTGCGGGTGCTGGCCACAGATGAAATCGTTTTGAAACATGTTATTGTACCTAGATTCCTAAAAGTCTCTGGGTCCTTATGGGATTAATTTAAGAAACCACAAAGAGCTGGCTGATGTCATCACAAAGACTCTCCATGATTTTTGGGTAGTTTTGGGAATCTGGAGAGGTCCTGCATGACTGGAAGCTGGGGAATGATGTCCCGATTTCAAAGACGAGCAAGACGGAGAACCCTGGGAAGGGTTCTACAGGCCTGTCAGTCTCACGTCAGTGCTCAGTAAAATCATGAAGTTTAACAAGAGCAAATGACACATTCTGCACCTTGTACAGGGCAACCTGGTTGCATATATAGACAGGGGAGCAAGAAGCTGGAGAGCAGCACTGTGGAAAGTGACCTGGGGGTCCTGGTTGATGGCAAGTTGAATATGAGTCAGCAGTGCCCTGGCAGCCAAGAGGGCCAGTTGTGTCCTGGGGTGCATCAGGCACAGCATCACCAGCAAGGGAGGGGATTGTCCTGCCCTGCTCTGCACAGTTTTGGCACCACAATATAAAAAAGACATTAAGCTATTAGAGAGTTCAAAGGAAGCCACGAAGATGGTGATGGGACTGGAGGTGAAGTTTATGAGGAACAATTGAGGTAACTTGGTCTGTTCAGCCTGGAGAAGAGAAAACTGAGGGAAGACCTCATTGTGGTCTTTAACATCCTCATGAGAGGAAGCAGAGGGACAGGCACTGATCTCTTCACTGCCATGACCAGTGACAGAACTCGAGGAAATGGTATAAAGCTGAGTCAGGAGAGATTGAGGTAGGATATCAGGAAAAGGTTTTGCACCTAAAGGATGGCTAAGCACTAGAACAGGCTCCCATGGGCAGTGGTCATGGCATCAAGCCTGCCTACATTCAGAAAGTGTCTGGACAACTCTATCAGGCACATGGTGAGATTTTTGTGGTGTCCTGCACAGGACTGGGAGTTGGACACAATCCCAATGGGTCCCTTCCAACTCAGCAGATTCTATGTTACCAGAACCTCCCACATCGCACCACCCAGAGCTGGCTCCCAGCCACAGCTGTTAGCCAGGTCAGTGACTGTCACCCTTCCTGCAGGATCAGGAGCTCCCAATCCAGTTCCTCTGCTGCCCCGTGCAAGAAGTGACGCTCACTCAGCAGATCAAGGACCCAAACTGCCCCTTCCACGCCGAGGAAATGACAGGCTGAGAGGAATGAAGGTGCAAGACAGGACACAGTGGAAGCACCCAGCTCAGCTCCCACTCGGTGCTGGAGCTTCACCTCAATGTAGGGCCTGATCCAGCTGTCAGCCAGCTCCCACAGAGTCCTGTGCTCAAAGTCCTCACTACTGTGGTGAGCAGCTGGCTGATCTCTGCTGTGAGAAAGGACACCACTAGGGATTTATCCAAAGACTTGTTCCAGGAGCTCTTTAGGACCTCCAAGAGGCCATCAGCACTGTCTCACCCAGCCTGATGGGCATCACATCCCCTGTTCCATGGTGTACTGAGCATCTTCCTCTGCAAGAGCTTCCTGTTTGAATTCAGCATGGCCAAGATGTGCCAGCAGGGCAGCTGGAATGCCTGGTTGAAATGGCAAGTGTAGCTACTTGGGCCTTCCAGGAAGATGCCTCCATGATCTGTACACTGAGGTGTCCTACCTGGTTCCAATCAGCTGCATGGACTTCCAAACCACTGCAAGCTCACTCAGGCACAGCCTGGCAGCAGCCTCTGTGCAAATGCCACTCAAAGACTTCCTGATGCCATCTTCAGTCCTTTGGGTAACCTAATCTTCACTGTCATCCTCTGAGGTTTTTGTGGCCTCCAGTTTTACCACAGGATACAGGATCTAACAGGGGCTGAGCTTGCTAGTTCGCTCTGGAGAAGAGCATGAGGTGTTTCAGGCTGACACTGAAGGGCCTCAGGGAGCTGCTGGGCTCTGGAGAACAACCACACAACTCCCAACAGCTGCAAAAGAGGCTGACACAGGCTGCTGCTTCTGCTGAGCTGCTGCCACAGTAGGGAAAGCCTGGCCAGAGCTCTGGGATTACCCTGGCACACCAGAGGGACAAGAGGCGAGTCAGAAAGGCAGACTGTGGGGAGCTGACTAAGCAGCACAGTATCAGGATGGGGAACAGAGAGTGTCACGGCATCAGGAGGAATCTTAGAAACACACTCTTTGTAGTGCCGGGCCAAGGTGGTGATGCAGCTCTCCAGAGAGCCCAAGAGCCCAGTACTGAAAATCTGACTTAACCTTTGGATGACAATCTCCAGTTCCGTGAAGAAGTCACTGCTCTCCCCCCAGCTGTTCTCTGTGCGTGGCACAGATCCCATCCTCAAGCAGCCCCTGAAGGTGGAGCTGAGGCAAGTCCGGCGTGATGAGGTCTCTCCGGACGGTGAGCAGCTCCTGCCGGTGGCTCACAGTTCTTGCACCCATGGCTTTCCTGGCGGCGATCACGGCCAGCACTCGGTGCGGTGCTCCAGGCACGGCTGCTGCAGCCACTTGCAGAGGGGGAACACGGAGAACACGGGGAGGCCAGCGCGGCTTGGGCTGTCAGTGCGGGCCCGCTCCGGGCTGCCGCTACCGGCGAGGACATCGCGGCGCGTCCCGGTCCTCCCTGCCGCGCTCCGCCGCCGCCTCCCCGGCGCGGTGCGACCTCGCTCGGCACCGCCCGCCCGGCGAGACCGGAGGGCTCGGGCGCCGCCCGCAGCCTTCGCCGCGCATCGCATCGCACCGGGCCGGGGACGCCGGGAGCGCCCCTCGGTGTGGCCGCTACCCAAAGCTGCGTGCGGGCTCCGATCCTGCCTGGTTACCTTCCCCTCCTCCCTCTTTCAGCTGCTCCCCATCGCTCTGCAGCACCTCAAGGCTCAGCGGCTGGACTCTCATGTCTCCCTCTTCAGCAACAAGTGCACCACTCTCCGCCCTCACTCCTTGCTCTCCCCAAGGAGCCGTAGAGGATTTGTCCTCCCTTGCCCGGTGCCCGGTGTAGGAGAAGACTCTCAGCAACTTCCTGAAGAAGCACTGCATCACATTGGTGTGAAAGCTGATACCCATGTGTTTTATGTCTTTATCCCTAAACCACACGGTTCTGCAGCTCTGGAGGAGCAGGCTAGAACATGATAAGAAAGGCTTTAAGGAAGGAAGTTAAATTGTATTTTAAGAAAGCAAGTTATATTTTAAAAGGGCAAAGGCAGCAGTTGCGTAACTAGTGAGTGACTTTGCAGCCTTTGTGCACACAAGCAGATCCACCAGCTAAGATGGAAAGTAAACAGCGTCACTACACCTGCTTGGAGAAGTGAAGACCGTGGAATCAAGTGCTCCCTGAGGAAAATCTGATATCACCTTTCCACTGCAGTGAGGTAAGGACAGCTGGAGAATGCTACAGATGCCGATGCTTGGAGTCTTGAGCTGAAAGAGGCAGGAGCTATACCGCGAACACAGCAAGTATGTGGCACAGCTGGCGGCGTCCTGGTACCGGTATATCACACTATTGAGATCAGCCCGGTTATCAAAGCCAGGTACGGGACAGGGTCTGTGCCCCGGGACAGCGCTGGGCTGGCCCCAAGTGGCCGCTCCACGGGGTCTGGCGGTGATACACCGGGGGACCCTGGGCGCACGGGCTGCTGCGAGCTCCAGCCGGACCCGGCGGGCGGGCCTTACCTGGCGGACAGCGGTGCCATGCTGCCGGTTGTAGCAGCTCCGCAGCCCATGGAAGCAGTCCCTATAGGTGAGGAAGCGGTCGCATGGCGAAGGGTGGATGCGGGGTACACCCGGACGCTCTCCACCCAGCCGTCGGCTCCTCGCCCCCATCACCAGCCCAAACCCACGCCGCCATCCCTGTTAAACCAGCCGGGCACCGCCCGCACCCTGATCTTGACCAATCAGCGCCGTCTTCTCCCGATTGACAGGAGGCGAACCAACCAGCCCAGAGCATCCTGACAAGACAAGGGTGACTGACGGCTCTACTGTCCAATCACATGGCGGCCTTTGCCCCGCGACTGGGCGGTGCTTCTTGGTCTGCCCTGCTGATAGGGTCGCGGTGCCGGTCCCGGCTCGTGGAGGTGATGGCGGCTCTAGGAGAAGCCGGCGGGACTGGAGCGGGGTCGGGATCCGAACCGCCGTCGTCTGGGGACCTGCGCAGCGTGCTGATCACCAGCGTGCTGAACCTGGAGCAGCTGGAGGTCGACCTCTTCAGGTGTGCGTGGACGCCGGGGCAGAGGGACCAGGCCGCCTCCTCCTCCGCCGCCAATCTCACCGCGGCCGCCTTCTCCCCGCAGGGGCCGGCACCACTGGGTGCCCGCCACGCAGCGCCTCTTCGGCGGGCAGATCGTGGGGCAGGCGCTGGTGGCGGCAGCCCATGCCGTGAGCCGCGACGAGCAGGTGCACTCGCTGCACTGCTACTTCGTGCGGACAGGTGCGCCCCAGGAACCGGGGGACCGGGCGGCGGGGACGGGCTGCAGGGGTTCGGGAGGGGCCTGGTAGTGGCTGGGACTCTGGGGAAGTTCGTAGGAGTGAGGAGGCACCGTCATCCCGGTCCCAGCAAAACAGGGAGGGTGTGAGTGGCACTGCCGGGCTCGGCCCCTGCAGGGCAGGTTTCGTCTGTGCGTGGTGCGCCGTGGCCCAGCGGCAGAACGTCCCTTTCCTGTCCCAGGGGACCCCAAAGTGCCGGTGCTGTACGAAGTGGAGAGGACCCGTACAGGGAAGAGTTTCTCTGTTCGCTCTGTAAAGGCCATCCAGCATGGACAGCCGATCTTCACCTGCCAGGCTTCCTTCCAGCTCTCCCAAGGAAGCCCAGTGCAGCACCAGTTCACCATGCCGACCGTGCCACCCCCTGAGGAGCTGCTGACACAGGAGGAGCTCATCCAGAAGTTCCTGCAGTGAGTGGGGTGGAAGGGACATGCCGGGGATGCCCTTTGCTGCCTGGGGCATAGGGGAGTGTTGGAGAGGGCTGTCTGAGGAGTTCTCAAATATGCTTGGGAGGGAGCAGGACATGACAGGAGCTCTGCCTCTCGTCTTTCTTTGTGCCCCTGGGTCCCTGGGCTGGAGCTGCTGCCAGTAGGATGTGTTCCAACCTGCCTGTCTGGTATTAATCTTGCTTCTCTGTGCTGGGCTGCAGGGATCCTAATGTGGCTGAGAGATACAGGAAGCATCTCACCAAGATCCAAGCTCAAGATGTGCCGATTGACATTAAACCCGTGAACCCACCAGATATATTCAGCTCAGAGCCACAGGAGGCAAAGCAGCTCTTCTGGGTGCGAGCACGAGGCTACATAGGTAAGTCTTGCTGGGTCCAGGTGTGTCTCAGTCCAAGGGCACCAGCTCACACTGTGGAGCACTGTTGCAACAGAGTGGGCTTGGAAGGCTGGGATTAGGGAGCTGCATGTGCCCCAGCCTGGGCACTTCAAGCCTGTAATACAGGAATGGATGCAGAGGTGGTGCCGTGAGCCAAGCTGGGACAAGGCATGGCAAAGGGAATAAGTCTGGAAAAATCTCAGCTGTTCTTGGCAGCTGGCTCCAGGGGAGTGGAGCCCTAGGTGTGTCCCGCAGGCCCCTGCAGGATGGACAGCACTGGTTTCTCTGCAGGGGAGACTGACATGAAGGTGCACTGCTGTGTGGCCGCCTACATCTCTGACTACGCCTTCCTGGGCACGGCCCTGCTCCCGCACCGGCAGTACCGCATCAAATTCATGGTGTCCCTTGACCATTCCATGTGGTTCCATGCGCCCTTCAGAGCTGACCACTGGATGCTGTACGAATGTGAGAGCCCCTGGGCTGGTAAGTTCTTAGTATGTTTTTGGGAGACCTTCATGGCCAAGGCCAGCCCTGCCTGTCCTGGGGACGGTGGGCTGCAGTCTGACTGTGTCTCTCTGCAGGTGGGTGCCGGGGCTTGGTGCAGGGACGGCTGTGGCGCAGGGATGGGGTTCTGGCTGTCACCTGCGCACAGGAAGGTGTCATCAGGGTGGAACAGACACCAAATCAGAGCAAGCTCTAGCTGAGGAGACCTTGATGCCGCTCAGACTGGGCTCAGGCATGCCAAGGGAGGGACCCTGAGATCGACATAGGACCTGGACAGGAACAGGAAGGAGGACCAGGTGGGATCAAGCAGGAAGTCCCGGTGAGAGAGGTGTCTGCGACAGACAGTGACCAACAGAGCATCACTTCAACCAGCTGGTAGCTGCACATCATGTAACTGAATGCAGCCATCAGCTATCCTTCACCCACTTATTATGTTAAAATAAAGCCGTTGGGTGAAGAGCTGGACTCGGTCCCTGGAGTTTGTCCCTTTGGACGCATGACTGTGCTTGCACGAGGGCAGGCAGTGCCAGGAGCACAGTAGATCAGCTCTGCCCCCACGGCAGGCTGGGTCACAATAAGGGAAGGTGCTACTTTGGTACACGTTGCTTCCTCTTCTCACTTCTGCACTGCTTGTGCCCTGGCTTCTCACTTGCTGCTTTTGCTTGCCCTTGGGCTCCTCTCCAGGACTGGGCTTGGGCCCAGCTGGGAGCTGGGAGAAGGGAATAAAGCAGCTCCCACCTCTGAGTGGAGGCTTGAGTCCTCCCACTGATGGTGCCCTGGGGCAGTGGGGCTGAACAGACACAGCAGGCGCCTTGCTCTTCTTCCTGCCAATACTTTATTTAATAAAGTCCTTTCTATTGTGTAAGTTTCATGGGAAGTTCCCGGCAAGAGCCCTGGACCCTGCCAGAAGCTTTCCCGTTCCCTTGCAAGGTGCCAGTACGTCCCAGCTAAAGGCTCAGCCACTCCAGGATCCCCTGCAAAGGGGGAGCAGCTTCTCAAAGCACCAATATGGGTGGTGGACCCCCATGAGTCACCAGCCCCGCAAGACAGACTAACCACAGAAAAGTGCATTCAGGAGGCAACTCCAGGCATGGGAGTGGTGCCTGTGGGACTACGGTGCTGTTCCCCTGCCCCATTACTACCCATGGCATTGCCCTCACTATTCCCAGTTGTCACAGGCATGAGCTTCCCACAGCCCTTGCCCTCCCGACCATGTGGGCACAGGTGGCTCATTCCAGAGGCTCCTTGATCAGGCATTCCTTCAGGGAGGGCTGCTGCTGCAGGGGCAGCCCAGCTTCCCGCAGGTCCTGCAGCCGAGCCTCCGAGTGCCGCTTGTCCTTGCCCACCTTCCAGGCCAGGTGGACGTGGGCCTGCAGGAAGGGTCCCAGGAGTGGGTGGCTGCCTTGGGCCTCCAACAGCTGCAGCGCCTGCTCGCAGCAGCCATGGGCCTCACTGAGCTGGTCCAGCTCCTGGTGGCAGACGGCCAGCCCTGCCAGTGTCAGCAGGAAGCGGCCGGAGTTGCAGACCCCCAGCCGGTCCTGCAGCCGGTAGGCATTGGCCCAGGTGGCCAGAGCCTCGCGGTACATGCCCGTGCAGGTCAGGCGCTGTGCGGCCTGCAGGTCCGGCAGGAAGAAGAACTCAAGGAACTCAGGAGAGCGGCGGATCTCATCAATGGAGTGCAGATGGGACAGGAACTGTTCGAAGGCTCGGCTCCGCTTGGCAATGGTCTCAGCAGTGAAGTTCCGGCGCAGTCTCTTCCTGGGAAAGGCAACGCTGGCCATGTCGCAGCTGAAGCGGCAGCGCAGGCGGCGGTTCAGCTGCTCAAAGTCTGAGTAGCGCCGAGCGATGGTGGCAGGGGCCTTGTCAAACTGGCCAGAGCGGATCAGGTAGATGGTGTAGAGCTGCAGGGGAGGCAGGTGTCAGGCACTGCTGTAGGCACAGCGGGATGTGCGGCCACAAAGGGGCTGGGGAGTTTGCCCAGATAGAAGGGAGTGGACTGGACTGCTCCGCAGCTCTTATCAGCAATACTTACCTGAGGCTCATCTGAGCCGCCAGCACCATCCAAGCAGCACGGGGAAAGAGAAAAAAATAAGCGCCAGCCCCGTGGGATCCCTGCCCCAGGGAGAGCAGCAGGACTCGCACCCATCCCGTGCCCGCCCAGCCGCGCCGGGCTCACTCACCACGTACTTGGAAGAGCGCTCGCTGACCACGCTGGCGCTGGTGACCTCGAAGAGCAGCCGCTGCGGTGCCAGGCTGCCCCGCGACCTCCGCCACAGCTCCTGCAGCTGCCGGGTCAGCAGGCTGCCGCCGGGACGCTCAGCCGCAGAGACCCACTCTGTGCCGGCAGAGGGGTGTCAGTGCCCTCCGTGGGGACAGGGCCCTGACATCTGTCGGGCTGCCGGACACCACCATCGCATCAGTGTCCCTGGAGTCACCCCAGTCCCCCCCAGCTCACCGCCCCAGCACCTGCCTCCGTCCTCCGTGCCTGCTGCCGCCCCCGGCGCCTGCGGCGGCTCCTCCAGCTCTTCGCTAGCTCCGTCCCCCTCCTCCTCCTCCTCCTCCTCGTGGCTGGTGAAGCTCAGGGTGCCGCTGAGGCGCGTCGACAGCCCCTCGGTGTCGTCCTCCAGCTCGGAGCTCTCTGGGCAGTCCTCGGCCTCGCCGCCGCCGCCCGCCGGCTCCTCCCGGCCGCCCTCGCCCGCCAGTGCGTGCCGCAGCCGGTGCAGGATGCGGGCGGCCATCGCTGCCGGGGGTCCGGGCCGGGGGCTGCCCACCGCGGCACGGCCCCGCGCGGGGACAGCCCGGCCCCGGGACACCCTCCCGGTGCTGCCCCCGCCCCGGTCCGTCCGCGCTGCCCCGGGCCGGGTGGTGCCAAGCGATGGCCGCTCCGCCACGGCTCGTCCCGGGATCCTCCCTGCGCGGCTCCGCCTCCGCCGGGAACCCGGATCGGGGCGGCGGAGCCGGCACCGCCCGGCACGGCCGGGATCGGGATCAGCGCCTGCGGCACCGCCCGGGACTCTCGGATCAGGGTCAGGGCTCAGTCCGGCGCTGCCTGCAGCCCCTGCCTAGGAACCGACTCCTCCCTTCCCGGTCTCGGCTCCTCTGTCCCCTGTCCTGGATGTCCTGGTCGGGTCGAGCCCGGGTATTTGCCCTGGGGCCACAGGAGCTCCACACTCTGGTGCTCGGCGGTGGGGTGTCCCATGATGTTAATACCCCAATACCCTGGCACCGCAGTGCCCTGACAGCCAGGTTCCCCAACACGCCTGTGTCCTGGTACCCCAGACTCAGGCTCCCGAGCCCACTGGGATGTCCCTCGGGTCACCTTGGCACCCTGCCACCCTGGCCTCAGTCGGCCTCGCCACGCGCCCCATGGCCAGGCTGAACCTCCAGCACTTGCCCAACCTTTTTTAGTGCCTGCCTGCTCACTCCTCACCACTTCCTTGGGAATGTCTATAAATATCGAGGAACCAGCCCAGCTGCTGCCATCACTCTGTCCATTGCTTGCTCACTGCACCCTGTTCCAGCACTGTGCACCCCACCCGGGCTCAGATAGGACCCCAGAGCTTCCCTGGGCAGGGTGGGATGCACTGGGGGCTGGACTTGTTCGCAGTTCCCACCTGGTGAAACCTGGCAAAACCAGGAGCCAGGAAACCCCTCATGTCCCTTGCACTGGGACCTTGTGGGACAGGGATCTGTCACCCTGACCCCACTGCAACCCTGAGGCTCTGAGCACCACAGGGCATGGGCCACTTGGCCAGTGTGTCCCCAGAGCCACCAGACCCAGCCGGTCCTGGCAGCAGTGGCTGGCACGGGCTGTGAGTGTGAGGACTGAGCCTTCGAGGAGGCACCGGGCATAATTCCCACTCCGCAGAAGCACGAAAAAATGGAGCCATATCCGGAACCAGGTGCCAACAGTGCTGAGGACCCCAAATCATGGGGCTCATGCTCCAAATCTCTCCAGGGACTTTGTGCCCCAGGCCCCACTAGGGACCTGTTCCTTATCTGGGGCAGGGGGCTGCAGCACTACCCTGCCTGGGACCCCTAGAGCAGAAAATGGGGGTGCAGGGGGGGACGCTACACTGGGGAAAACCAGCTTGGTATTGGGAGCTTGGCCCAGGAAGGGCTGTGTTTTCAAGGGCCAGTGGGTGATAGTCCATGCTCCTTGCACAGGGAGGACCCTGTCCCCCTTACCCGGGTGATGCTGATGGCTCCAGGGCTATTTTTAACCCACTCATTGCTGAGTTGCCTTGGATGGGGCTGTTGGGGGTGGGCAGAGCTCCTTCCACAGCTTCAGTCCCCCTCCTGAAGAGCTTGAATTTCCATTCCAGCCTCATCCCCACGTTAATCCCAGCCCTTGGCCAATAAAGCTTTGGCTAAATTAGGTAAAGGCATCAGTTGCCACTGAGAGGGGCTGGGTGCTGCCAGAGTGCTGATAGGCTGAGGGGGCCAGGGGGCAGTAGCTGGAGACACATCCCACAGAGGAGACACTACAAATTGGGGTGCCAGGGGCACCAGGAAGCTTCTGGGAGGTCCTGCTGCAGGAGCTGGTGATTCTCTGGGGGTGGGAAGCACCATAAATTCCCAAGATGGTAAGCGCTTCTGTGTGCTATGTGCTGTGTGCCAGGACAAGACCTGACTGGGCAGGAGGCACCAGGGAGATCTGGGCTGTGGAGGTGCCTCTGCCGAGGGCAGCAGGGATATGGTCCCCAGTGCTGGGCAGACCATGGTGGTGAGGGCAGGGAAGTGTTGGGGTGGTGCAGGGTCCCTTCAGGACAGATCTGAGGGTGACCGTGTGGCTGCTGAGGGGGTGCAGGTGCCCAGGGACACCATCTCAGCCCTGTTTGGAACTCAGGGCTGTACAGAGGCAGCGGTGGCAGGGGGTGGCTGAAAGTCGAGTGCTGGGTCATGCTGCTGGCTCCATGGCTGGCCTTCGCCTCCAGGAGAAACTCGATCGGGGTTGACAGGTGCCACGGCTGTAGCCCCAGCAATCCCTACAAGGGGAGCTGAGGAGTTCCCAAAAATAGCACTACATGCCCAGGATGCCAAGGCTGTATACAGGGACCATGACCCCTGCACAATGGAGCCCCCCAGATAGTGGGGAACTCGGGCAGACAGCTCCCTGCTGCCCACCATGAGCATGGATGCCTAGAAGGCATTGGAACTGTAGGGGTTGCTGGTGTCTGTGGCTCATGCCAGCACAGGATCATCCTGCAGCAGTGCAGAGACTCTTCCCACAGCCAGGCATTGTTGGGCCATGCTGTGTGAGGGGTCTCTGGCCTGATATGGGTGGTGCAGTGACCCCTCTCCCTTGCCTTGCAGACGGACCAGCAAGCAGAAGCTCGTGCCTTCCTCAGTGAGGAGATGATTGCTGGTGAGCGTGGGACAGGGGAGGGACAGGGGCCAGACATGGCCATGGTGCAGGGCCTGGCTTTGCCCCACTGCACAGAGAGCTGACCTGTCTCTCCACAGAGTTCAAAGCTGCCTTCGACATGTTTGATGCTGATGGCGGTGGAGACATCAGCACCAAGGAGCTGGGGACAGTGATGAGAATGCTGGGCCAGAACCCCACCAAAGAGGAGTTGGACGCCATAATTGAGGAGGTGGACGAGGATGGTGAGCAGCCCTTGGTGGCTGGTGGCAGGGATGGGTACTGGACCCTGGGCAGGCAGCCTACCCCATGCTTGGCTTCCTCCCCACAGGCAGCGGCACCATCGACTTCGAGGAGTTCTTGGTCATGATGGTGCGCCAGATGAAAGAGGATGCCAAAGGCAAGTCTGAGGAGGAGTTGGCCAACTGCTTCCGCATCTTTGACCGGTGAGTGGGGGGCGAAGTGGCCCATCTTGTCTGCGGGGGCAAGCGAGATGCCATCCCTCCCTCACGCTTCTGCAGGAATGCGGATGGGTTCATTGACATTGAGGAGCTGGGTGAGATCCTGAGAGCCACTGGAGAGCCTGTCACTGATGAGGACATAGAGGACATGATGAAGGACTCAGACAAGAACAATGATGGTCGCATTGACTTTGATGGTAAGCAATGGCCCCAGCCAAGCACCCATGTTGTACACCCAGGCAGGGCCATGGGCTGAGACTGTTGCTTTCTTGCAGAGTTCCTGAAGATGATGGAGGGTGTGCAGTAAAGGACCAGACATTCCTCGGGCCGGCTGCTGCATCCAGCCCTGCTCCCTTGCTGTCCAGGGAGCAGCAGCTCCACGGCATCTGGCCCTCAGCAGTGGCTGGGACCTTGCTCTGTGCCAGGGTCCCAGTCTCATCTCACCACCGGCGGCTGAGCTTTTCCTCCCATCTGTCACCTGTGGCTTTGATTCGAGCCTCAATTAAAGAGGAAAGGCTTGAGCTGCTGGTGCAGGATTTCACTGGGGGTGCATGGGGAAAGGGCTGTGGCAGTGTGTCCCTGCTCTGTTCCCCAGGGAGGGAACGTGGGCAGGCTCACACCACAGGGCAGTGCTGCAGGGGCAACCCAGAGTTGTGGTTCCCACGGACTCTTGGGCAGGCGCCAGTACTGAGCTCAGAGTTTCCGTGCAGAGCAGCTCGTTCACATGCCAGAGAGTGAGGGAGCATGGCCCTGGCCCCGAGGGTCCTGCTCCAGGGCAGGGCTGTGGGACCACAGGGATTCTAAAGAGCCACCACTGCCTGCTCTACACTGAGACCCACATCTCCCACCCAGAGGACCTGGCTATAAGGTGGAAGGGCAGGAGCAGCCCCCTCCTTACAGGGGAAAGCAACACTTGTCTCTCTCTGAAGGGGCTGCGCCAGCCTGCTGGGCATCACAGCTCCCTGGGGCCCAGCAGGGGAGGAGCACAGCAGGGGGATGAGGCGGGGTAGAGTCCCCAGCCAAGGTGGGTGGGACCACTTGAAAAAGCACAGCTCAGAGCTGATCACACACCCGCAGCACAGGGCTGTGGCACAGAGAAGCCGAGCCTCCTGGAGAGCCAGCGACCACCGAGGGCATCCTCACCCTGCCCTGTTCACACCGGTTGTAATGGCACCAGACAGAAGGGATGTGTGCCGTGGTCGGGGGGCAGTGAGAACGTGTGCCACAGCCCAGGTTGCCCTCTGCAAGGCCACGGCTGGACACCGGCAGCTGGTGTTGCAGCTTGGGGGCAGCAGTGACAGCCCTCGACTGCGTGAGGAGCGCCGCAGGAGGAGTGCAGAGGCCCGTGGGCTCAGCATAGGTAAGGAGGGAACTGCTGTACTCGGCAGCAGCCACGGGGAACCTCTATAGCCACACTGTGGCCAAGGAGGGGCTCACATGCCTATCCCACAGGGCTGCGGCGGGTGCTGCTAGCGGGGCTGCGGCAGACCCCGGCGAGCCCTCTGGAGCAGCAGGAGCTGGAGCGGCTGTGGGTGCTCTTCCTCTCTGCCCTGGAGCTCTTCCTGCAGGACCTGTACAGAGCCCAGCACCTCTGTCAGCTCTTCTCCATGCAAGGGGGTGATGTCGTCCCACTGCTCACTGGGCTGGGGGGCTGGGGGCTGCCCAGCCGGCGAGGAGGGGGTCCCACACAGCCCTCGACCACCCAGTGCTTGGAGGAGGAGATCGAGCAGGTGAGGGGCATGCTGGCAGAAATGGAGAGCGGAGCCAACATTCCACCATGGACAGTGGAAGCCACAGAGACGGCACAGCCAGCAGAGACAAGCGGCACCACAGAGAGAGCAGCATGGGGAGGCCCCTGTGCCGGGTACTGCTGTGGGGTGCTGTGAGCTAGCAGGGACAGGAAATAGCAGCAGAGGTGGCACCCCGGTCACAGAGCAGCGAACAGAGGCCCTATGTACCCCTACAGTCCTCAACCTCTGCCTTTGCAGGCGATGGTGGGGGCTGCTCCCACCCTGCAGAGGGAATGGGTCTACTCCAGGCCCCCAAATATTGATAGAGCTCCTGTTACCCCACAGGGGTCAGTGTCCCTTCCAACCTCCCTGCCCACACTTGCAGAGGAGCCTCTGGGCACTGAGGGTGTGCCAGAGCTGCTACAGAATCCCCTGCAGAAGTTATAAATGTGCATTTATTTATACATTAACCGTGGCTCGGACTGCGACATTAATTTAAAAACAGCCTATGATACAGAATGCAGGGGGACGGCCGGGAGGGAGTGGGTATGTTGGGGAGCAGTGGTGATGGTCAGGTCTCCTGGCTCTTGGTCTGCTTGTTGTACGTCTCCCGCACATACTTCTTGTAGGCTGAGGAGAGAGGGGGGAACATGATACCAAGGGTCCTGAGGCAGTGGCCAGGGCAGGGGTGGGGCCAGACAGGCACTGGGGGCTGTGCTGCTGCCCGTCCCACTAGGGGCAGGAGGGTTCTGCTTCAGGCACTCACCGACTTGGTTTTTCCAGAGCTCAGCGGCATGTGTGTTCAGAGGGCTCTCGATGTTCGGCTCTGGAAACAGTGGCTGAGTCAGCTGGTTGGGAGTGACCTGGACACCCTTGAGCCCTGATCTGGTGGAGATCCCCACCACCACCACCCCTTCTGCCAGCGCTCCACAGCAGTTTGTCCACAAGACCCACCTGCCAGCAGGCTCTGTATAGAGAGCAGGATGGTGCGGACATCATACAGTGCTGACCACTTTTCCTTGAGGATGTCGAGGCAGATGTTGCCCTGGGTGTCGACATTGGGGTGGTAGCAGGGGGTGAGGAACCGCACGGTGGGTGCTGTGTAGGGGTACCCGCTGGGGAACTCCAGCGACAGCTTGTACCGCAGCTCCTCGTAGGCCTGGGGGTGAGAGTCGAGGGAGACAGGAGTCAGGGGGAGCCGTAGCCCCAGAGGTGGGGGAAAGCCTCGGGGAAAAAGAGGTACAGAGCAGTGGAGGGCTGCAATCACACTCAGCTGAAGAGAGGAAAGTGGGGCAGGGTCAGGGTCCCGGTCAGAGATCCCCAGACCGGGATCTCGCCTCTCACCGTCCCGGCGGCGCCGTCAATGGTCCCGATCCACTTGAAGAGATTGTCGGACTCAGGGAAGGCAGAAATGCCTTTGTCACCGGACATCTGCGGGAGAAGGGCGTCAGGGCGGCCCAGGACACCCCCCAACTCCAGTTCAGCCCCAGGTGCCTTTGGGACCCCCAACCCCCTACTCGGCCCCGGGGCCCCACTCACCATCAGCGCCATCAGTTCCTGCTGCAGCCTGCAAGGAAAGCGCACGTTACCGGCCGGCTCACCGGGGCAGCCCCCGCCCTGAGCCCCAGCCGTGGCCCCAGCCCCACTCACCTCTTCCCCACCGCGCCGCGGGCCGCCGTGGCCCCGGTCTCGGCCGCTTTGCGGGCAGCTGCGCTGGACACGGCGGCGGGGTCGGCGTTCTGCGAGGCCATAGCGGCTCCCGGGTCACGGACAGGCACACCGGCCTCCGGCAGGTCACCGGCTACACGCAGCTCCCACTCCCAGGCGGCGCCGCACCGGGCCGCGCTGGCTCCTTCCCTCCCTCCCGCAGTCCCGCTCGGGGCAGGACTCGGGCTCCGCTGCGGCTCTGCCGGTGCCAAGCGCTGGTCAGGGCTCCCCCAGCGAGGCTCCCCAGTGCCGAACGGCGGTGCTTGGAACTCTCCCGTGCGGCAGCGGCTCGATCTCAACCCCCGTTCCAGACGCTCTCCGGTTCAGGAGCAGCTCGGTCCCGACCCCTTCTCCAGTGCAAGAGCGGCTCGCTGGCAGCCCCGATCCCGGACGCTCTCCGGTACGCTCGTCCCGCGCGGCCCCGCCTGGTCCGGCGCCCCGTTTGAATATTTCCGCGTGCGGCCCCTCCACCAATCAGCACGCAGCCCCGTTCGAGCCGGCCAATCACCGCCCGCCGAGGATGCAGCTCCCACGGTAACGGCCAGAGGCTGCTGATTGACAGCCGGCCACTGACGCACAGCGCTGTGATTGGTCAGAACCCCGCGAAGGGCGGAACCGCGGGTCTCGCACGCCCTTAAACGGCCAGGCACCCCCGGGCCCCAGGAGGCGGCGAGGTGGGAATAAAGCGGCTTTATTGGGGGACATCAGGGTTCGGGGGGCTCCTCGGGGGGCGGCACGTCCCCCCCGCGGCGAAGCGTCTCCATGTGCTTCTGCATCTTCTCAGTCATCCAGGCTGGGGGGACGAAGGGCTTCAGCTCTTCCAGCCGCAGATCAACAGAGTCCCTGAGGAAGAAGGAGGATGAGATAGAGGGACTCCAGCACCCACTGCTGACCCCAAACCCACCATGTCCCCTGGCACCCATCAGTACCAAGCCTAGAGCCACCAAACCCACCAGGGATCTCAATCAGCACTGAGCCCAAACCTACCATGAACCCCCAAGTACAAACATTAGTCGCCCAACATGGCCCCCTGGGTACCAAATCCCACCTATAACCAAGCCCCCCAATCATCATGGAGAGAGTCTCTCCAGCACAGGATGCCCCTGCAATGCAGCAGTGAGGGGGGAACATGGTGGGGGCCCCCAGGGAAGCAGCCCCAGGCACAGCAGCACCTTCAGAGTGTCTGCTTTGGTCCTCACCTGTAATCCTCACTGGCAGCCAGATCCCGAATGTCCTCTTCAATGAGGAGGTAGGCCTGTGGCACAAGGCAGGAGTCACCTCAGGGTGCCTGCGAGGGGCACCCAGGGCAGGGCCACATCCCCAGCCACTCCTGACCCCGTGGGAACCAGCTGTGCCTCCTGGCCCATGCCCCAGTCCTGTGGGCACAGGATGGGCCTTGGCAGCGCTGTGTCCCCACACTCTGCCTGTCCTCCTGCCACCGCTGCCTGGCCCTGTGGCGGGCCCTGCCCGGCCGTACTCACCATCTTGCCCCCAATGGCTCTCATGTGCTGCTGCTCTGTCAGCCAGTGCTTATCCTGCGGGTCGGCCGCGTACTGCAACAAAGCAGCAAGGACCGAGCTGAGAACGGGTGACAGACCCTTCCCTAAAATCCCCCTCCTGCGGGACTTTGCCCTCCCCTCTGCCTGCGCTGCTCCAGCCTCAACCCTGGCTCTGGCAAACCCGCCACCTCGGCAGGCACGCAATACCATTGGCTTGTGTTCTGTGTGCTAGCCAGACTTGGGAACGTGCTCTAAGATAACAAACAGGAGCATGGGGGAGGAAGTAAACAAGGGAGCTGAAACACACGCTCCCAATTCCCATTGGAAACCATCCGGCTGTGGCACCTGACCTTAAAGAGGTGGGGATGCTTGATGTAGAGTCGCCCTCTTGTTCCTCCCATCCCGAGAGCTCTGCAATAGGAACATGAGGGATGTTAGGGTTGTGAGGAGGGCAGCTGTGGTGGCACAGGGACACCCCTCTCCTCCCCAAGCCCTTCCTACTGCTTTTGAGGCAGAGAAGCGAAGTGACGGGAGGAGTGTCACGGGCTCCTGCCTGGGGACACCACCCTCCATCAACAGGGCCGT